GTGTGTGTGTGTGTGTGTGTGTGTGTGTGTGTGTGTGTAGTTTGAGCTTAATAACAAACATACAAATTGTAGTTCTGATGCGACTTCATACAGGCTGTGGTTGTTACGTAATTTCCCGATTTAAATATTGAAACTTGTTTTAATACAACGTACTGAACCCCTTGTATTTATGGTATATCCATATAGAAACAGGTCTCTAAAAACACCAAAGTAAAAAACATTTGTCTTTGTTATGTATGGCAAAAATGGTATCAAACTGCAAAACCACGAATACTTATTCCTTCCCGCACCATACCTTTGCCATATCACGTTCCCGTATGAAAGTCAGGTTGGAATTGGCTCCCGATTCTCTTCAAACGAGAATTTGTCTGTTATTAGGCTAAAGGATGAAATCACGTTCTTGGCATTATTGTAAATAAACTGTTTCTAACCGTATATACACTGACACAGCGTCTAGTTGAAACTGACTCAATCTCGGAGCAGGCACTTTACGACTGCGGCGAGCCAGAATTAAAATCAACATGGCAGTCTATTATTTATGTTGTGGATAATGTTCTGCCTTTCACAGTTGTCTGAAAAACTATACCCCTGGCTAAGCTAAGCTAGTAGTTTAGTGTTAAACCAGACACTCAAACCTGGAGTTTGAGGCTCTGGACTACAGGGGTGATCAGAAATACCCCTGGTTTGGAAGCTGTTCCTATTTCTACTGACGACAGTTTGACGCATTTATAGCCAACTTGCAAAAGCCGTTGTGTTTAGACAACTTTCACTTGTCCGATAGTTCTCCAGAATGAAACATCCAAATGTCTTCTCCATGTTTTACCCATGATTCGAGAACAACTTAGAACATTGGTTTCGAAGTGACAAACGAAGCAAGAGAGTGCGAGACCACTAAACGTTTAACACGTCCCCATGGTCGTCCGCAAGAGGGGGGGGGGGCAAAATAAGAACCATAATTTTTTCTTTATTCATTCAGCATATGTATTTTTATTCAATTCACAATTTAATACTAATTTGCTCCTCCTTGGAAACATTTCGGCGGACGCCCATGCACGTCCCCCAGGAGCCAAGGGGGTGTCTTTACACTACAATTTGCAAGTTCAATCCGGAAACTCCCAAAGAGGGTGGTTTTGGGCGTATCTTTTCGAGACAAGTTTTCGTTTGTTAACTGATAAATATTTAAGTGAAATACAGCATCCTCAATTCTCCATACTAGCAAATTATCAGCATCAATAATTATGCAATTGCCGATCTTTTATGCTTCTACTATCACCTTTTTATGTGTAGCTTTGAGTTGAGATATGAATGATTTTACCTGCAATTCAATAGGAAAGGTCGAAGCATCACGATAGTCAGCAGTAGGATGAGCAGACAGGAACACTTTGAAAGCAGCTATAGGCATAATATTGTACTCGGCTTACTGAACAATATCTATCAAGGTGGTTCTAAACGGTTCCTGAATACCTCTGCGTGTCATTTGAAGACTTCCATGATTCTTGTGCTTGGCCGTTAAACTCGTGATGCGTTGACGGATTTCAGTCACCTTACCACTTCAAATCGCTTTTCGCAACCCCAAACGCCAAATAAGTGCGGGAAATGCCTTCTTTTTAGCCAATAAACATGTCCAAAAAATTTCAGTTCAAATTAAGAAAAACCGGATTAGGTAGTTGTTTTTTCCCAACAGAAATCTTCCCCACTGGCTCGTGAGGGGCCTTCTAAAATTCAGGTCGCAATCATTCACATCTAACGAGATAGTAAGTAGCAGACAATTTTCCAAATGGATTTATTAATGACTAATTTCTCTTAGTTTCGTTACTCCTTCGATTGATAACGTGAAGAAGATGTAAATGCGGTAGTCCTTCCAAGACTAACTGAACTTATGATATTAGCCTCCACCCCGATAAGTCTGAGGGCTTATAAGGCTAAAAATCGAGTTTCTATACCCGCGGTGGGCAGAACAGAAATATACCATTATTTAGTTTTATGCTTAACAAAAAAAACACGATGTTAGGAAAAAATTTTCAATTAAAGACAAAATATAAAACCCTATTAGTCAGAGTGCTTTCGAAAGATTGCCAGCCCTCTCTTCATCAGGGGCAAAGTTTCCGTCGGGTTTCTTATTTTATTTATAAAGATTAATTTGATACGTTTACAAAACTAGAAATCTCCAGATGACTGGGGTTGTTTTTTGTTTTTATAAGATCAAAGGGTTGGAAAAATCCGAGTGTGGCCAGCGTTTTGGGTTGTGGGCCGAAAGGTCTGTGGTTCTAGATGCCATGCCACTATAAATTAAACACATTATAAAAGTGACAATCAATTCTGTTCTTTGGTTCAAAGAGTTGGACAAAGCCCTTGTCGTGTTAGGTCGTACTGGCTGCTGTCCCTCTACTCAGTTGGTCAAAAGTAAGGGTGTTGGACTGACTTGAGCGTTTAGCACGAGTACGCATAACGTAACGTTAAGATAGATAATTAGAAAATACACCCAAATTTAAGAACACCAGATTTTCGAATACGTTTTTCTAAACTATTTATACAACAAATTGATCGTGGGACCACGGTTTTGTCAGTTATAGGATCTTAATAACGAGATAACACAACAAAATCAATACAAAATTACTCCAATTAATTCCACCTATTAGTGCTGGAGTGTCCGACATAAATAGAAAATATGTTTTCAACAACTTTGACAGTCAGTTTTTTTACAATGATGGTTAATTGTGACAGACAAAAGCATAGATTACTCAATATGATGCAATAGGTGGACCCAACCGGTTGTGAGCACTATAAAAACAAGTGTGAAACTGAGGGGTAATATTATAAAGATTTGTGTAACTTACCAACTATCACAATTTTAACGATATAACTTGTTGGTATGTTTTGTTGAATTTCGCCAAAAGCTACTTCAGGTCTACCTAGGCTAGCTGTCCCTAATTTTGAAGCGCTAAACCAGAGTAGGAGTCTCGAACCTAAATAACAAGAAAAGCTTTTTTATTATTATATCAATGAAAAACGCAAGATACTGAGAGACGCAGTGCATGCAACCCTATTTCAATAACTAGACAATGAAAGAGTTAAAGATCCGCAGGTTGCCGACCCCTAGACTTTAGGAAAGGCTAATCGCCAATCCGTAAGCTACTTTAATTGAATAGTGGGATTTTAAACTCCCTCTTACAACGCACCCTCAGCCCCAAAGTGCGGAGCGCAATTTTTTTCTTGGCGGTAACAATAAACTGTACATCATACAAATCTCCCTCTGTATTTCTTTAACATTAAGTTATTAATAATTTATACCATATAATAGTAAATCAACAATGCCAGTATTTTTTTCTTGGCGGTAACAATAAACTGTACATCATACAAATCTCCCTCTGTATTTCTTTAACATTAAGTTATTAATAATTTATACCATATAATAGTAAATCAACAATGCCAGTATTTTTTTCTTGGCGGTAACAATAAACTGTACATCATACAAATCTCCCTCTGTATTTCTTTAACATTAAGTTATTAATAATTTATACCATATAATAGTAAATCAACAATGCCAGTATTTTTTTCTTGGCGGTAACAATAAACTGTACATCATACAAATCTCCCTCTGT